TTGGTCTAGTTGCTTGTTCATTTCGGCCAACTTTTCCGGAGACATGATATAGTAACGCTGCTTGATCGGTGGATGATCGCCCGTGTCTATTTTGTGCGTGACCAAGTGAGTCCTACCTAATCCTCTCTTCTCCGCTGATATATCCTCAAACAATCGTATTACTTCCTGAGCCTGCCTACGCTCGGACTCAGAGAGCGACTCAAAATCTTGTAAAAATCTATCGTTACAAGTGATCGAACCAATATGATTACCCCCCGGCAAATACTCACCACCCTCCAATAAGGATAGAACGTCGGGTGCTATCTTAAATTCTTTCCAGAAATTCATCCCAAAAAGTAGCTCAGTGGCGACCCCAGGTACTAAGTAGAATTTAATAGTGGCGGTTCTTCCTCCGACAGTGACTGGCAAAAATATGTAGCCCGTCACTGGAGACGACGAACCGTTTGCAGTAGTAATGTGTGTTAAGTCCCATGACTTATGTACAGTACCAAGGCCAGAAAAATGTTTTATTGCATTGTTACCTACAATAGATATTTCAGAACCAGAGTCTAGCAAGCCTATATATTTTAATTCATAAATAGTAATTTTTAAAAATGGACGGGCATCCCCTCTTGTGTTGTGAATCGGCGCTGTCAGATGTTGACATTCATTTTGACACTTTTTAATAATGTTTTGTTTATTACTATCGAAAAACCGTCGAATTACTTCCAACCACGAATCCCATTCGTGTTTAGACAAAAATGTATAACAGCGCCGATTCACACCTTCCCGTTTTTTGGAAGAGAAGTATTTTTAGCTTTCCCCTGGGAGCACTCGGGACACGATCTTGCCGTCCCCTTTCGGCCGCAACGATAACAAACCAAAACATGAGCTTCCCGGCATGTTCCCAGCGTATGCCCTTCAACACGGCAACGCACACAGAACTTATCATTTCCCACCAGTTGCACGGCTGAGACCTTAGGCAGTTGTCTATTATTGCTATTCTTATAACTCAGATCTGGAGCTAAGCAAGCCTGGGTTATTTTAGGTGGTTCACTAAAATGTTGGGAACGCTCCTTGGCACCTTCCAGAAGTCTACATTTGCGTTTCAAATCTGTCCAGGACTCTATGGGATTCAAAGCTAATTGTGTAGTGTAAAAAGGTCTAATATTAAAAAGAACAATATTCAATTTCTCTTCCTCTGAGAGCGACTTTGACAACCGAGTAAAATAGTTCTGCATAATGCTAAGATAATTCACTATGCTTTCATCGGAACCCTGAGTGCGAGACCGGATCTCTTGTAATAAACGATGATCATAATCTGATGGTAAATATTCATCAAGAAGCAAGGTTTTCAACCCTAACCAGCTATGTACTTCGGATTGCACCCCACGATACCAACAAAGAGCCTCATCTGTAAACAATTCAGCTGCAGAATTGAACAATTTACCATCTGTTACACCACGAGACAAACATAACTCCTCTAAACGCTGCAAGAATGCCTTTACACAGGTTTTCCCATTAAACCGTATGTTTAGTTTATGTACGGCAGCACCAGAGTCAGGGAAGCATTCCCAGTGCGTTCAGAAGCAGCATGGACTCTGCTATTCTCTTCCGGAGGCACCTGAGTTAAACTACTCTTAAAATGGTGCATAATGTTATCTAACTTAACCAGAAACTTGTCCAGACGTTCTTGCAGCGCCTCCAATTGAGAGGCGATGCTGTCATCATTATCAGAATCTAAGCGACTAAGTCTATGAAACAAGTGATGTGCTAATGATTGTATTCTGTTCAGTGCTTTAAGGGAACTAGCTCTAGAAGAAGTTTGAGAAGTAAGATCATCTAAACTGTCTAATTTCTCCCTAATAATATCCAACTCTGATTCTATCTCTACTTCACAAGTTAATATTTCATCAGAAGGTAAATCTTTATTTAAAGCACGTACTTGTGCCTTTAAAGCAGGCACCCCGTCCACAGGCTTCGCACCCCTAATTCTGACTTCATATTCCAACTCATCTTTGTGTAACAAGTTAAAAGTGATTGGCCTCTGTTCCATTTTGTAAGTTAAAATTACTCCTAGTGTGGCAAAATAAAGAAATGTTCAATAACAAAGTGTAATTAATATGATAATAAAATCACCTACCTGTTAAGATATATCAGTTAAAATAGTAGTGTTGTAACAAGTGTGGTTTCACACCTGAGGGTTGAAAATTGTTAGGTTCTAAAGGATTAGGTTTCTCAATGTTAGGTTTCTTCTTGTTAGGTTCAAAAAAGTGAGGTTGGTGAACTAACCTACCAAAAATCAGTACACAAGAGGGTTTTTTTTTTTTCCTTTAAATAAGGGTATAAAAAAGTAAATATGACTTTTTTGATTGTAAATTTTGAGCCAATATCGATCATCCGATGTTACAAATTATTATGTTTACAACACAGTATAACCAGATAAACAAATCTTTGGATATAAGCCAAATAATTCAGAGAAAAAAAAAAAAAAAAAATCACCAATATCGATCAACCTTTTTTGAGCAAAATGACCAAAAAAAAGAGCAAAGTAAATGCTACAAAGCCTTGTTCCACTTGTTCGGGCGCCACATGTGATGTTAAATTCCCCTCCACAGCTCTTTACTAGCTACTCAGAGCACCGGGGGAACAATAAAAGAAAACCAAAAAATTAAGATAATGTTATAAGTATATTTTATCCACTTTAGATACCAAAGCATAGGAATTCAGTAGTTTTAAGTTATTGCTTATATAAATCAACAAGTCCAACTATGTTATTATTATTTATATAATAACTATGTTTCACTAATTATAAATATCTAAGCTGAATACAGTAGTTCAAAGTTAATGTGTATATAAACCAACAAGTTGTCATGAAAGGTTATAATTATATGAATATCAGACATTCATAACACTTTACCATGTACTTACAATATAATCCTTACTAATATATTTTATCCACAAATACCACATAGACTAGACTGAATAAGCTATTGAGTGGATTTCAGAGGTTCTACGGCTCGTTTGATCGATATTGGTGACAAACTTAGTTAATTCTAGTTCTCAGTGAGATAACCAGTTATATAGTATATGTAAATATATGGAAATGGGTAAGTCGGGGTCCAACCTCGCCTGTTGTTTCCTTTTCACGTTCACCCGGGGTTAGTAGAGAAATACCTTGATTATGATAGGTTAAGCTGTGTATAATCTGTCTGCTGTTCGGCCGGGTTACATAAAACCGGAGAGCGGCTGGCAAATAAACTCCCGCGCCCCTTCTGGTCCGTGCACAGAACAAAAGTCTCCTTGTTAGTCCTCCAGTATTTCTTGAGGGGAACGTACAAGCCTGAAGTTCACATTGAAAAAAATGATCAGATATGGGGAAAATACATAGATTACCACATCTGTGGTGGGTGAGGGAGTGAGGGATATTCACGGTCAATGTTTACACTTTAAAATTTGAATCACTACAGGACTGGGGGCCCGTCCCACCCGGTTTGAAGAAAATCAATTCCACGTTCACTAACTTGACAAGAATGATTAGGTATATTTGATGACAAGAATCACTATATTGTGCATAATGCAGTTCAATTAGTGCTAGGAGAATAAATATGAGATCAGATGATAGCTTACCGTTCGAAATATGAAACTATCCGTAAGTATTTTGTTTCCTATCACAAGTTACCGCCTTATTGTTGCAATTGCCTTGCGAAGGTTCGTGTTCGTCCACCTACGATACAGAATATCAACAGAAAGGTTATTTTCACAGCCCAAACTTGCAAATTATGTAGGAAAAGAGAGCCACTCCAATATACCTACGAAACTCAGTTCGGTTAGCGACTCCGCGCTTTTTCCGCCAATATCCTTCGGGATATAAACTTTTCGGATCTATCTCACGACTTCGACGACAATAATATGCCGTTTATTATACTTTGGGCAGAAGAAAAGATGAAAAGTTAACTGTACCACAAACAGATTGTGAAATTTTAAAAGTTGTTTTGACAATTGCTCATAGATGATAGACGGATCGTCTACTCCCAAACATGTGTCTATGATTTGTTTCCCACTTCAACTGAAGGCAAAGGCCACAGTCAAACAGACAGCCGCCGCATTCGAGACGAACCGAAGAATAAACTCAAAACTATATACCTACGCTCGCCGTAAGCTGAGGAAAAGGGAATACCTACCCAAATCAGCGAGGAAATTCAATTTCGAGTAAAATTCAAAATCGATTAAAAACAGCACCCGATAATGAGGACTCAAATCGATCTGGGAAAGACTATTCAAAATTCAACAACTGTCAAACTCCATCCATTCATCCACGCGCCCCCACAGAGATTCCCGCCTGATTATTTTTTTTTTTTTTTTTTTTTTTATAAGTCTCAAGGCGAATATTTTAGTCGAATAGGAAAATCGACTCTTCCCTCAAGGCTACCAACCCAATCAATGAAGTTTGACAGCTACGCTGACGTAAGCGGTTCGCTATCATAGACAAAACAGCTGTCCTACGTGTGTCAGTGTCACGCTCTGTTTAAAAACAAACACTACAGATTGTAATTATTTAATTTGATTATCATTTTTTTTCTATTTCTGTATGTAATATGGGTACTACGCCTGAAATAAATGGTTATTATTATTATTATTATAAAAAGTAGGGTTGTCACTTAGTTGAATCGGATAATAAGTCTAGGGGGCACCCACTTAGGCGCACCGCACATCAGGAGAGACGCGGGGACAATACTACGTGCGAGCGATTCCGAGCACGGAGAGCGGCCTAAAAACACGAGCAGAAAAGCCGCGCCCCAGCTCTCGGAGCCACGTCACAGCACCCTGAGTGCGCGTGCTCCGCTTGCTCTTTTCTCATTTGGTTGAAATCTTTTTGAGATCGATAAATAATTGGACACTTTAACAAAGGCTTGCTCATGTGATCACCCCACCATCGTTCTCCTCCTAAAACTTTTGTTCCATATCTATTTGATAAAATCAATTATCTTTTTCACAATACATTTATTTGTTCTATATAGTTCGTGGAGGCCTGACTCTTCGGGAAGCCATTTGCCTAATGGAGATCATACACGCTACGGGACGTCTGCGAGCCATAGACTTAGTGGAAATCAACCCAGCGTTGGGCAACGAGAGCGACCGCCGACGGACTCTCGAAGCCGGCCTTAGCGTGCTCAAGGCTGGCTTAGGCTTCTCCAGGAGAGGCACAGCTCCTAGAGGAGTGCTGGACTTACCTGTTCAAACGCATCACGATCACGATTGCCCCGTCGCAAGACAACAGATGATGAAGTGAAACGCTGGACGCTGATTTTTCAATCACAGAACAGAGAAAGAGGTTTCTGTGTTCTGTGGATATAATCATAGGTGTATGATAGTATAATGAACGGATAAGTGTTTATATGAGAAAATGAAATGAACTAATTCAAACTTTTGTTTACAAATCACATTCATAAAATCAGGTCTTTGTTTGTGATTAAAAATTAAATAAAAGATTTTATTAATTTTTGGTTAGTTTCATTTCTCCTCATTTTCTACAGCAATCCATCTTACTCAGTCTTATTCAAAAGCTAGGTCGGAAGGACCAGAAGGATATTTCACCGAAAATATTAAAAGATATTTTCACAAACGCTCTCGAATCGTAACCGCGAAAGTGCCAGAGATCGAATTTTCCAGATCACCGCGGGTCGCGATAGAGGTCGAGTAATGCGGCTCATTCTAAAATGAGCCTTATGCAGTGCGGCGTAAGGGTGAAAGTGCAACGACATCTGCACTTATTTACAAGTTATGCGTGTTACCTGCGTAGGTATTTCGTACTTGCGGGTGCTAGGTAATTCTCAATTTAACTGGTACTTTCTAGAATGCGTCGATCGGCGTATATAAGCGCGATTTGTGCCGCGCAGAGACAGTTGAGCTTCAACAGCGATTTCGGAGCGAATCCAAAGGCGATCAAAGTGCAACCAAAGTGTTCAAGTGCGATTGTTTAGAGACTTATATAGTGAAATACAGTGTTTAGTGTTTTGTAATTAACATTGTGTGTTAATTGTGTGAACTGTGTGGTGAATAAAGAACTGTCAAGCGTGAACTAGCATATAATTTCGAACCCCATCCCGACACGTAACAACTGCTGACAGAATTGACATGCCAATCACACCGCGAGACGGAAGCGAAGGCGTACGCACTCGACGGCAGGCCGTAATGGACCATTCGCGGGAGTCGGAAGCAGCAGCGCTTGATGAAGAAACGAGCACACCACAGGCTGCTCACCACAATGGTGTTACCACTACTGCCACGCCGCATATGCTCGACTTGTCGACATTGATGGCAGCTATACAGTCTATTCGCGAGGACGTCAAGGAGAGTCAACGACAAGCGCTCAAGGATGTCAAGGAGGACGTGAAGGCTGTGCTATTGACTCGAAATTTGAAACATTCAAAACAACTTTGTGCGGCCTCCAAGACGAAATAGAATGCGTAAAGAGTCGTACCATCAAACACCAGGAGACCCTAGACAAACACCAGGAGAGCATAGGCGAATGCAAGGAGACTCTACAGGTCTATGAGAAAATGTTAAGAGACCTTCAAAAAACCAAGGTCATGAGCACCGCCATAGCAACCACGGGCACCATGGCACCTAAATTTAAAGTACCGGCGTTTGATGGTACAACTTCTTGGACGGAATTCAGACACCAATTTGAAGTCGTAGCCAAAGGGAACGGCTGGGAGGACGAACATGCCCTGACTGCACTCACTCTTGCGCTCAGGGGGGATGATCTTCTGATATTGGAAAATGTACCAGCCGATCAACGAAGTTTGGAAACTCTCCTCAAAGCTCTGGAGGGTCGTTACGGGGATACCGCGCACCTAGAACATGTGTATCGAGCGCAACTAAAAGGACGGTCACAGAAACCAGGAGAAGGATTGCAGCAGTGGGCCACGGAGAGTGAATGACTGGTGCGTCGCGCTTATGCGTCCAGTAAGACATCCATAGAAGACATTGTAGTTCAAGCTTTTGTGGATGGTATAAGAGAACTCGAAGTCAGGGCGGCCGTGCGTTTGGGACATCACACGACCCTAGAAGCTTGAGGTAGAAGCAGTACGCAATGACTACAAGACGCACTGAGTGCGAGAAGTTATTACAGCAGTCAAACCTCAAGGTGGACCAGGGCCGTGGTAGCATAATGGTCAGTGCATTCGCCCGGATTGCGAAAGGTGCGGGTTCGAGTCCCGTCCGCTGCCTGGTCCGCGTGGATTTTTTTTCTAGTAAACTTTTCTTTAAATATTGTATTATTTTTAATTATACAATTTATCAATAAAAGAAAAAAAGGTTGTTTGCCCCTATAAGGTCATTATACGTTTTTCCGCCTGCCTCTGAAACAGACTATAGAATGCGTCGATCGGCGTATATAAGCGCGATTGGCGCCGTCTTCCCCCTCTCGGGGGTTGATCGCTTCAGATGAAGCTTGTAAGGCCCTTCTGGCCATAAGCATGAATAAAGGGTGTTTTTTTAGTCAGTAAGAGTCTGACATAACCTTACAGCCGGCTGTAGGGTATCCATGAGGATTTCTCACCCTCTCCCCCGCCTGGGAGGAAACAAAAAAAAACGCGCAGAGACAGTTGAGTTTCAACTGCGATTTCGGAGCGAATCCAAAGGCGATGAAAGTGCAACCAAAGTGTTCAAGTACGATTGTTTAGAGACTTATATAGTGAAATACAGTGTTTAGTGAGTGTTTTGTAATTAACATTGTGTGTTAATTGTGTGAACTGTGTGGTGAATAAAGAACTGTGAAGCGTGAACTGGCATATAATTTCGAACCCCATCCCGACACGTAACAATATGTTGAATAGACTTTTGCTCTAAGAAATCAAATGAAGCCACAGGAGGTGCGGGGAGAATTACCTATAATACGCTTATTTTTTTAAAACCCGTTTCCATAAATAAGTACTAAAGAATAGAATCGAACTAATATCAATGCCTCTGGTGCTGAGTGGCTTAAAATGGCTCAAACATTAATTACTGACGTCAGAATAACATTGGTAAAAGCGTGCTACATAAATTAAATAAAACTTAAGCGTTTTCAGGTCTGCATCGCCATATTCTGACGATGCAGACCTGAAAAGGCTGCGAAACGTCAATAAATTAATAAAGTTTGTGTATTAACCCGTTAAAACTAGTTTTATTTAATGAGTGATGTGCGTGAAAACCTAAGAAACAAACTTGCTACATAACTTTCATTAAATGAAAGTCTATATTAGAAATGGCTTGAACAGAACTTCAAATACTTAGAACCTACACGAACATACATAATCTGAATGTTTACCGCAAAACGGATTCTTGAAATCGAAAATACCTATTTTCCTAAATTCATTTCGCAACAAAATAACCGTAACGGATGGTGACGGACCGTGACTTTGATAAAACAATGAGCCTTATTCCAATTAAAGAAAAAATAAGACTCAAGATGATTTTGATTGTGGTGAGTAGGTAAAGCACCATAGTTAAGAAATTCGGTAGAAGATAAAGATTATTGCGCGTTAAGTTTTTAGTCACGCTGTTGAAATCACCAGCCAAGGGTGAGCAATCAACTTAAACGTTATGGAAACAAAATCAGAAACAGTAACATAGCAAATTCACCCTTATCTCTGCAACGTAATGCACAATCACATTCCTTCGCTTCACGCATTTGGCAGCTCCATAATCGTGTCGCATCGTCAGTATCTATGAGAACGAAGCAGCGCGTATCGTACCTAAGAACAAGCTAGCTTGTTCCCTTAAATGAATTATTGGTCTCACTAAGAGCGATCTCGCTGAGACAAATCTTTCATCTATGTTTTTACCATACAAAATTTGACGATGATGACTTTGAGCGAATTCACGGGTCTTCTTTTTATCTCAAAAGGAATGTATACCTAATATTAATGAAATTGATGATTTGATAAAACAAATTTTCGCGGAACCCATACCCCCTTATTAATAAACGAAGAATAAATAAGCAAAGACTTGTTACGCCGTGATTTATTCATATCACTTTAATGACATTTGTCATTTAGTGAACAGAGACAAATCATGGAGTAACTAATCCAAGCTTATTCTTTATTTATTAATAAGGGAGCTAGAGATTATGCGCAAACGCACATAAATTAGCAATGATAAATGTATGTCTCAATCTTACTGAGAAAAGAAAGTAGGGTTATTAAGAAAATGCGAGTCGCCTCAGTAAGATTGCGAAAAAAAGGCTTATTATAAATATTCTTGGGTTTTTTGGTTCTTGGGTTCACACTAGGTTAGCTTAGTATTGTGACCTTGAGTTGTTGGAAAAGAAATTCGATAACAGTAATATTGAGCAATGCTATCGCCACTGTCTAAATATCCGCATTTTCGCAACATCCCTAGGATTTCCGCGAAAAATCGATTTATCAAAACATCCTACGACTGTGTGTGATGTACATTACGTTGCGGAGATAAGGGTGAATTTGCCTTGTTACGTTTCTGAAATTCGGTTCCATGGGCTTCGACTCTGCGCTAGTATGAATTGACCATTATGCTGCGTTGTACTTTGCTCATGTTATAAAATATTAAAGTGTGGTCGTTGAAAGAATGCATTCATGACGGTGAAAGATCGTATCATTTCCTTAATAGGCGAGGAGCCACCAATCCTGAAAGTTCCGCGATCACGGATTCTAATATTTTTAATAAAAAATAAAAGTTAACGTTTAGACGAACAAGATTTGCTTGGTCGGCGTGGATTTGATTGGCCGGAAATATTTAAATTTAATTATTTATTATTAAATTTCCATATTTTTTTTCCGTCATCACGGATTTTGGATTATAATTATCTTGGGTATGCGTGCTTACAAACTGCCGAGAGTATCGCGCATACCAAATTTTAACTCTTCGCTTTTTAACGGTTTCTATATTTCTGTAAAGAGTGAGTGAGGCAGATTTTTGGTTCAAGTTGAAACCTTGCATGAGTTCGTCTCTTTCTATTCCCTACGAATTTAACATTTACTTGCCTCAAAGATACACAGTACGTATACAAGCAATAATCACGTCACATTCAAGTCAGAAAACAACAATCAGAATACAAGTGAGTCCAAACCTTTAATTAATATAACGTGTCGTGATAAGGAGTTTGTAGGGCTCATTGATAGTGGTGCTGCAGTGTCTGTGGTGTCGAAGGACACAGTTAATAGAATTCATCAACGAATTGATGAAAGCGATATGAAGTTGAAAGCTGTCGATGGTAAAGAATTGTCTGTTATAGGGAAAGTTAACCTTAAATTATTGATAGACAATGTGTTATTCATTCACGATTTTCTT